GCTAAAGAGCCCTAAGCGCCTTAACCTTTCCTCATAGGGAAAGTGTTCCAACCCTTTTATCATCTGAGTTGCCCTTTTCTGCACTTTTTCCAATGCTATAATATCCTTTTTAAGGTGTGGTGACCAGAACTGCAACTTCCTTGTGCTGGGCAGACACCTCTGGGCTATGCTAGGATATTCCAGTGTTGAAAAGTCTTTTGTTTTTGAGAATGAAGTGAAGTCTTAAAGTTATTGAGACCCTGAGTTGGCAGAGACTGCACATTTTTCCAGCACACCCTTCCTCTCTTGTCCCTGGGAATTACCAATGTCATGGCTGAACTCAGGTGCCTTTATGAGACCCCCCCCCCCAAGTTTCAGGTCCCCTTGGCACTTAGGCTCTAAATAAAAGGTGTCTATTAAAACAAGTCCAAAAACAAGAGGGGGACCCCCACTAACCAAGGGGTCTCGGCTGGAGGAGAGGGGGGAATCTTTATTCAGATACAAGCACAATAAAAGTATATTAATAAAGAAAAGAATCTTGAAACAATCTTTAAACAATTTAGTTTGAAAATAGGATACTTAGACTTTACAAATATTAAAGGGTATAATGTTTATATGTATAACCCAAATGCTTGTACCATGAAGTGATTCCCAAAGCCCACTCTTCTCCCTCTCTCCTCCACTCACATCACAAAAACATTCCTAAAAACACTTTCTTGAGAGTAAGCCTCACTGAATAAATCAGCATAGGATTCTAGTAGACATACTGAGGATTGCTCCCTCAGTCAAGTTTTAAAGCATGGCTGGCATCCATTAGTACTTCTGGTGTGTGTTAACCTTTTCAGAAAGTGGGTATGGTCATTTTAAGGCAGGGATTATCAACTGCTCTCATTTAAATGAAAGGGTTTTCCATGGCTGAAATATCACCCTCAGCTATTAGTTTTCCTTCTTTTTATTCCTTATCTTCCTCTCTTTTTTAGGCTTTCCTTTGTTTCCCTGCCAAAATTTGACAGCAGTTAACTTTAAAGTAGCCAGTGAGATTCAAACTTTTTATATTGATCCAATCCAAAGCCAGGATGGCCCAAATCCTACCTTCCCTGAGGATCTTCTGTCTGTAAAAGAAGAACCCCATGCCATAGCAAATTGTTCCTCTGATCCCTGGGCCAGATCTCTGCTTGGTCAGAAGAACTCTGGTTTAAAAAACCTGCTGAGAACTCCTGCTGCACTTCGCAGTCTTTTTCTCCTTGCTTAGCCAGCTCCTTGTTCTGCTCATTGGATCTCAGCTGTGTTTGCCTCTGGTTCTCTCCAGACCTTAAACCCAGGATTTCAGGTCATATATCCCTTCCTTGAAACAATTTCCTCCCTCCTACCTTTTATAAGTCTGTCCTCTAGTTGGCGTGTGTGTTTGAGCATGTGTGGTTACTTAGGGAATTAGTTCTCAGGTCCCCAGTGTAAGTTCCTTAAATTTTTATTCATTTTATTTTGTTTTGTATACAATAAAATAATTTGTTTGTGTTTACAATCACTCTCTTCATAATTTTATTTTGGGGCACCGCTGCTGAAATCCACCATGGTATACAGAGACTACAAAGGTCTTGTGTTATTCCTTTCTTGGAACCCTTTTTAAAGCTTATTTTCCCTTCTGTGGGTCCAGTGTGGGCAACAATACGTAGAGTTTTTATCCCATTACTGTTTGTTAACCATCCAAGAAAGTTATTTAAAGGTTTGTTTTGATATGATATGCAAGAAAGATGCACTGTATACTCTTAAGTACCAGTTGAAGGATTTGGTATTAAAGTTTGGGCTTATCACCATATAAATAGCATGTTCAACAACAGCAGTTTATTTCTGCTGATAATTGTAATTCACATTTCTCCCCAGGTATATTAACAAGCTAACACTGAGGTGCAGAAGTCAGGAGGGGCTGTTCACTGCACTCAGTTATTTTCAGACTACTGGCATACTTCTTTTTTTCTGTTCTATCTCAGCCCCCCCAGCCATGATTTAGGAATGTCAGGTGTGGTAGGTAAAGAGCGCTGCAGGGTATTTGGAGGTGGTGATTGTGGGTCCAGTGTCACTCTGTAAGGCAACTGCCTGCTTTCTCAGATATGTCTGTGGACACAAGTCAAATCATAATCACCAGCATTGCTATAGAAAGCAAAATCCTGTGGGACTTCAAAGAGGAATTGCTGATACAGGGGAGGGGGAGTGCTGAAGCAGATACTGAGGTAGCGTGGCTGTCACCTATAGGAAGATTTTAATCTAGTTAGGATCACCGCACTGCCATCCTAATCACTTATGCTCTTCGAAGACAATTGATTTCCGTGGACGTAGAAGGGTGTAACTGTGTTTAGGATGATACTATCAGTCACCTCATCTACAGTGTGAGAAGAGTAGCAGGTGTGTCTTTTGTGAGAAGCAGAATAGAAAACAATGAGAGGCTTAGGGAATTAAGTGAATGCTTGCACGGGGTTTATTCTAATGATAATCTCTTCCACAACGGTGGGCTAGGGCTACATTGGCTCATTTTTGAATAATTGACATAAAGATAACTGTACACAATAATTTCTTGCAGGTGTTACTGGGAAAAAAAGAAAGATAATTTTACTGACTGCGAATAAGATACCTGGGAAACTAATTTAAACTGGATTATACAAACCCTAATAAGTAAAATGTAGATAGATTCAGGTGGGGTAGCCATGTTGGTCTGAAGCAGCAGAACAAAGTTTGAGTCCAGTGGCACCTTTAAGTCCAACAAAATTTTATTTAGGGTATAAGCTTTAATGTGGAAACACACTTCTGTATCTGAAGAAGCATGCTTGCACATGAAAGCTTATACCTTGAATAAAATTTTGTTGGTCTTAAAGGTGCCCCTGGACTCAAACTTTGTTCGAATAAAATGTAGCTAAGATACAAAAGTTTCCATGTAATAAATAAAGTGAAGCTAACATTAATGCCTGAAAGACTAAACTATAATTCAAGTAATTTATGACAAAATAATTAAATTTTTGCTTATTACCATTTAAGATTTTAAAAGATCCATCTTTATCCCTATATTGTTATGATAAAACATTTATGCTTGCCCACAGAGTCTAATGGATCCAATTGGTTTCCAGAATGCTCTGCGGGATCTAGTGCCCTCCAGCAACTTCTTAGATGCTCTGATAGAGGACTAGAATTCAGGTCTCTCTGAAGACATCAACGAAGTCACCCCCCGACGTCCTCTTCACCCCCACTCAAAATCATCCCCCTGGTTTACTATGGAATTTAGGGGAATTAAGCGGGAGGTTAGATGACTAGAGCAAGTTTGGCGGCATGTTCACAACAAAGCTATAAGAGAACCTTATAGGACAGTGATGGCGAACCTTTTAGAGACCGAGTGCCCAAACTGCGACCCAAAACCCACTTATTTATCGCAAAGTGCCAACACAGCAATTTAACTTGAATACTGAGATTTTACTTTAGAAAAAACCACTCATACATCAACTTAAGATGATCCAAACAAAGTAAGGAAAGCAATCCCAAATGCTTTCATTTACTTAAAATTATTTGGCAGAGAATTCGACACTTTAATGATGGTCTGGGCCTGGCTGGGGCGATGGCACGCGTGCCCACAGAGAGGGCTCTGAGTGCCACCTCTGGCACCCGTGCCATAGGTTCGCCACCACTGTTATAGGATGTTTATGAAATCCTGGGAGATGGTGGTGAAGGCTGCAAAAAGAGAATTTTACTCCGCCTCCATCACATCCGCTAGCTCTTGCCTGGCATAATTGTTTAGAGTGATTTGATCTTTAACATCTCTTACTGAGAGAACACAAAATATTGATAATTCGGCTATTAGCTGTGAGGCATCTGTGAGCCTTTTTGCAGATAGAGTCTTGTCGCTTTGCCACAACCTGCTGGCCAGGGTTGATAGTACATGAACTGGAGTCCCCTTGGCTATCTTTGATTTCAGTATTCGATGCCTTCAGCTGACTCTCACTGACTGATGTCAACAGGATTCTGGGTGCTGTTAGGCCTACCACATGGTTCCTGGATCCATGTCTCTCATGTCTGGTGAAAGCCAGTGGTGAGGGAATATAGGGCCATCTGATGGACATTATCAAGCTGTCTCTGGATTCGGGGGTCTATCCAAAGGGTCTGAAGGAGGCTGTGGTAATATCACTCTTGAAAAAGAAATCCTTGGTTCCTTTAGATCCTTCCATTTACCATCCAGTTTCGAACTTATCATTCCTGGGCAAGGTAATTGAGACAACGGTAGCCGAGCAGCTCCAGCATTTCCTGGATGACACATTGGCACTTGACCCATTCTAGTCTGGTTTCCACCCTGACCATGGGGCTGAGATGGTGTTGGTCACCCTCACAGATGATCTCCATAGGCAGCAGGATCGAGGCGGGTTGGCACTGATGTTATGGCTAGATCTTATAGCAGCATTCAACACAATTGATGTTGACCTGTAGACCCACCACCTCACTGAAATAGGAAATCGTGGGATGGTTTTACAATGCCTTACCTCATTCTTCCAAGGTCAGGGACAACGGGTGGCACTATGGGGGAGGGCATCAACTAGGTTCCCCTTAATATGTGGGGTTCCGCAGGGGGCAATCCTCTTCCCAGTATTGCTTAACATCTATATGTGCCCCCTCACCTAGCTGATACTGGTCAAGGATCTCCTGGGGTCTTACTTATTTGGTCCATCAAAAAAAAATGTTAATGTTGAAGATTTCTTTGTTAATTATTGAACAAATACTACAAATATGTTATGTATGAGAATGTATAACATGTTCACAGTCTGTATTCAATAATTAAGGCTGCAGACCTATACAGTTAACAGAAGATAAGTCCCCCAGAAACCAATATGCTTTTGAGTAAACAAGGATGTGAACAGGTCCCAGATATCCATAATTACCTTTGTACTCTCTTTGTAATAATGTTAACTAACCATACTTGATTGAAATGTTTAATAAAATAGCTTGCCTGAAAATCTTATGTTATTTTATTTTTTAATCTCCTGGTTTAGGAGCTTCCATCACCTTTCTTGAATACTTCTGTCAGTGCAATGGAGGAAGAAGAAGCAGCTATGAAAGGCAAGCAGGAATCCATGAAAATAGCTTGGCGTTACCAGAACATACAAACACTGGAGGTAAATTATATTTCATAATGGTTTTCCACCAAAAATTTTCCCGTGAGTTTCTCATGGGTCCTGTCTCACACAGTGGCCAACCAGTTCCTCTGGAGGTCTTACAACAGGGCATAGAGGCCGAGGCCTTCCCCTGATGTTGCCTCCTGGCACTGGTATTCAGAGATTGACTGCCTTTAAATGTGGAGGCTCCCTTTAATCACCATAACTGGTAACCACTGATAGACCTATACCCCTTGAATCTGTGTAATCCTCTTTTAAAGCTGTCTATGCCTGTGGTCATCAGTACATCCTCTGCCAACGAATTCCACATTTTAATCATTCGTTGTGTAAAGAAGTATTTCCTTTTGTATATCATGAATCTACTACCCATTAGCTTCAATGGATTCCCTAGTATTTTGGGAAAGGGAGAAAAAGTTCTCTTTGTCAATTCTCTCTACCCCATACATAATTGTATAAACCTCTATCATGCCCTGCTTTAGCCATCTCTTTCCTAAATTGAAAAGTCCCGAACTCATCAGCCTTTTCTCATGGGGCAGGTGCTCCAACCTCCTAATCATTTTGGTTGCCCTCTTCTGTACTTTTTCAAGCTCTGTAATGTACTTTTTGAGATATGGCGTCGAGAACTGTACACAGTATTCCAAATGAGGCCGCATCATTGATCTATACAGGGCATTATAATATTTGCCATTTTATTTTCAGTCCCATTCCTAATAATCCCTAACAAAGAGTTTGTCTTTTCACTGTTGCAGCACACTGGGTTAAAACTTTCACTGAGCTATCCACTATGACTCCAAGATCTTTTTCCCACTCAGTCTCAGCGAGTTCAGACCTCATTAACCCATACTTTAAGTTGGGGGAGGGGGTGTGTGTCCCAATATGCATAACCTTATATTTAACAACATTGCATTTCATTTACCATATTGTAGCCCATACACCCAATTTAAGAGAAAAAAAAAGGTAGGACTAGAGAATAACACCTCTTATAGATTGGAAGTGGGTTAAAAATCAGGAAACACCAGGAAGGAATAGATGAGTAATTAGTCCTGCCTCACCAACCTTTTGGCATTCTTTGAGTAGGTTAACAAGCATGAGGACAAGGGAGATCCAGTAGAAATCATCTACTTGGACTTCCAAAAGACTTTTGACAAGGTACCTCATCAAAGACACCTGAGTAACTGAGGCTCTTCTTATGTTCTAAGAACATCTATCTAAGAACAGAAGAACAAAATAAGAGCCCTGCTGGATCAGACCAGTGATCCATCTAGTCAAGCATCCTGTCTCATACAGTGGCCAATCAGTTCCTCAACAGGGCATAGAGACAAGAACAACAGGGCATACACACTAATGCCTTCCCCTGATATTGCCTCCTGGCACTGGGATTCAGAGGTTGACTGTCTCTGAATGTGTAAGTTCCCTTTAGTCACCAAGGTTAGTAGCCACTGATAGACCTCTCCTCCATGAATCTGTCTAATCCCCTTTTAAAGCTGTCTATGACTGGGGCTGTCACTACATCCTCTGGCAGTGAATTCCACATTTTAATCATTCTTTGTGTAAAGAAGTATTTCCTTTTGTCTGTCCTGAATCTACTGCCCATCAGCTTTATTGGATGCTCTCAAGTTCTAGTATTTAGGGAGAAAGGCAAAAATGTCTCTTTGTCAGCTCTCTCCACACCATGCATAATTTTATAAACCTCTGTCGTGTCCCCTCTTAATTGTATTTTTTCTAAACTGAAAAATCCCAGACTATTCAGCCTTTCCTCATAGGAAAGATGCTTCAACCTCCTCATCATCCTGGTTGCCCTTTACTTTTATCAGGCCTGCGGTGTCCTTTTTGAGATACTGTGACCAGAACTGTACACAGTATTCCAAATGAGATAGATCTATACAGGGGCATTATAATGTCAACCATTTTATTTTCAATGCCTTTCCTAATAATCCCTAACACAGAGTTTGCCTTTTCACCGCTGCAACACACTGTGTTGAAACTTTCATTGAGCTATCTACTACTACCCCAAGATCTTTTCCTCTCTCACTCTCAGCAAGGTCAGACCCCATTAGTCTGTACATGAAGGTGGGATTTTTTTTGTTCCGATGTCCATCACTTTACACTTACCAACAATGAACTTAATTTGCCACATTGTTGCTGACTCACCCAATTTGTGGAGATCCTCCTGGAGCTCTTCAAAGTCATCCGTGGTTTTCACCATCCTGAATACGTTTGAGTCATCTGCAAACTTGGCCATTCAACTATGCAACCCTAGTTCCAGATAATTTGAATAACTGAATAGTACTGGCTCAAATACCAGTCCTTGTGGGACCCCACTACTTACTTACCGCCATTATGAGAAGTGTCTGTTTATTCCTACTCCTTGGTTTCTGTGATCTAATTAATTTTTAATCCATAAGAGAAACCGACCTCTTTTCCCATGAATTCTGAGTCCAGAAGGTTGATGAAACAGGACTTCCTTTTGCAGAAGCAGTGCTGATTTTCCCTCAGTGGGCTTTGTTTTTCTATGTGCCTAATAATTCTATATTTGATTACAGTAATAAATTGTGGAAACGGCTGTCTCTCCTGCTTGGTTCCGCCATGGCTGGCTGTCTACTGAGGTGTGGCAGTGTCTGTCAAACCATTCTCTTCAACCCCCTGCTGTGTGGCTGACTTTCCCCTAGGGTTGCCAATCTCCAGGTGGGACCTGGAGATCTCCCACTGTTACAATTGATCTCCAGATGACAAAGATCAGTTCACCTGGAGAAAATGGCTGCTTTGGAGGGTAGGCCCTATGACATTATACCCTGCTGAGTCCTTCCCCTCCCCAAACTCTGCCCTCCACAGGATCTGCCCCCACAAATCTCCAGGTATTTCCCTACTCAGAGCTGGCAACCCTACTTTCCCCTCAGTGCCTGTTGCTAGGCAGCCAAGCTTGATTGGTTTGGTTTGGTGTAGTGGTTTGGTGTAGTGGTTAAGTGCGCGGACTCTAATCTGGGAGAACTGGGTTTGATTCCCCACTCCTCCACTTGCACCTGCTGATGTGACCTTGGGTCAGTCACAAGCTCTGGCACAGCTGTCATTGAAAAAGAGCAGTTTGTGTCAGAGTTCTCTCAGCCCCACCCACCTCACAGGGTGTCTGTTGTGGGGAGGGGAAGGGAAAGGAGTTTGTAAGCCGCTCTGAGACTCCAAGTGAAGGGCGGGATATAAATCCAATCTCTTCTTCTTCTTCTAAAAGCCGAGGGGGAGGAGACTCCTTCTACGCCTATTTTGGCCTTTGGGAGAAAACTCATTGGGGCCAGTCCTGACTAGGGTTGCCAGCTCCAGGTTGGGAAATTCCTGGGTATTTTATGGTAGAGTCTATGGAAGCCAGAGTTTAGGGAGGGGAGCGGCCTCGGCTGAACAGAATGTCATAGAGCCCACCCTCCAAATAAGTTATTTTCTCCAGGGGGAGAGAGAGATCTGTTGTGATACCAGGCAATACCACAGCCAGTGTGGTGTAGCAGTTAACACTACAGAGCAGGGTCTGTCAGACCCAGGTTCTTGCTGTGGAAGCTGAGTGGGTGATTTTGGACCAGTCACAGAATTTCAGCCTAACCTACCTCACAGGGTTGTTGTGCAGGTCAAAAGGGAGAGAGGAGAAAGATGTAAGCTGCTTTGGTCCCCATTGCAGAGAAAAATCGTACTTTTCCTCCTGGGGAAACATTGTTGCCAATCCCCAGGTGTGGGCTGGATATCACTCAGAATTACAACTGCTCTCCAGGAAGGAGGGGGGATGAGATGGAAAGCAGAAGTCAGAGGGGCAGGTAAAGGTAGGTGGGACCTCAGACAGGTACAATGTCATAGACACCACCCTCCAAACCAGCTATTTCCTCCTGGGGGACCATTGTTGCCAATCTCCAGGTAAGGGGTGGAGATCATCCAGAATTACAACTGCTGTCCAGGAGGGAGGGCAGAAGTCAGCTGAAGTCAGAGGGGTAGATAATGGTTGATAGCCGGGGAAAGGAGATGGGGTTGCCAACTCCAGGTTGGGAAATTCCTGGAAATTTGAGGGGTGAAGCCTGGAGAGGTTGGGGTTTGAAGAGAGGTTGGACCTCAGAAACTTATAATGCCATAGATCCCACCCTCCAAACAAGCCATTTCCTCATGGGGAGCCATTGTTGCCAATCTCCAGGGGAGGGCTGGAAATCACTCAAAATTCTAACTGGTCTTCAACTAGCAGAGATCAGTTCCTCTGGAGAAAATTGTAGACTCTGTGTCATTATACTTTGTTGAGGTTGCCACAGCAAATTGACACTGAGTGCCCAAGGCGAGGGCACTCTCCCAGAGCCTCTTTCTAGAGCTTGTTGTATTTATTTCCACAACAGACCTTATTTCTAATATTTAAATAAATGTTTAATGATTGTCTTGAGGCTTTTAGCAACCTGCTCCCCAGATTCTTTTTTGCACTCCTAATTATTGGCTTACATTTCTTTTGTCAGAGCCCGTGGTCCCTTTTGTTCAATTCATTGAGGCAGACCTTCCACTTTTTAAAAGAAGCCTCTTTTACTTTTCATAGCTTCCATAACTAGCATTGTTAACCATGCGAGCATTGTTTTAGACTGGACAGCGCCTTTCCTAACCTGGGGAATGTATTCTATCTGTTTGTCAATTAGTGTGGTTTTAAATAGCTTCCAAGCATCCTGTAGGGATTTGCCTCTCTTGCATTTCCCTTCCAGCTTCCTTTCAACTATTCCCCTCATTTTTGTAAACCTTCCCCTTTTGAAATAGAATGTTACTGCTTTGGGCTTTAGGAGTAACTTTCCATTGACATGAACACTGAACTTAGTAACATTGTCATCACTGTTCTCCATTTGTGCAACAACCTCTACATTTCTCATAAGGTCTTGAGCCCTGCTCAGAACCAGCTCCCCTATGGTTGGCTCTGTGAGCAATTGTTCCAGTGCGCACTCATTTATGATGTCTAGAAATCTCATTTCTTCAGTATGACTCAAGCACTTGTTTATCCAGTCAAT